CATGGGACTGGTAGAGGAAACTTTTACGGAACGGAACTAGAGAACGGAACGCTCATTATAGTAAGGAACGCTCATTATAGTAAGAAATTCGATTCGGTGTTCCGATCCGTGCTCAATGGGACGGCACCCTAAAGAGAATCGTTGACTGTAAGGCTGATTTTCACGTGTCGTACGACAAGCTTTTTAGATACGTTCATTGATGAACAGAGAACCTAGAAATACTCTATTCGTCAACCAATAAACGTATCTGAAAAGCTTGTCGTACGACACGTGAAATAGCACCCTAATTAGTCAATTTCCTTATTGCTTTAGTTTTACTGCTTACGTTTTTCTGTGTTTTCAAATGAGCCTGATAAGCCTGTAAATTTGTCGTTGAGAAAGAAAAAGAAGAAAAATGTATTCGTATGTAACATCATTCTATCTTTGTTAGTGAGTAACAAAGATAGGATGATACTTGTGTCGATTTGTGTCTCTTGTTGGAAAGCAACCCTTGACACACACGTACATAAACAAGTTTATTGGTCACATATTATCTAAAATATCTTGTAAAATAACATGCAACCAATACACTGTTTTGTCACAGTGAGCTGCGTTTTGTACGCACTGAGCTGCGTTCGGAAACGTCATTCGAGTACTCTTCCTCTCTTTTTATCTCACTCTTGTATCTCGCTCACTCCAACATAACGGGTATACTTGGGTGACTTTTCTGAACGAAACCCTGGAAAGCACCTACGATTTGCAGCGACGGTGGCGGCTCGTAGCGGAGATTTGGAATTAATAAAAATAAGGGGTCTAACCTGACGAAGATTCGTAACAGGTCGAATCACCAAGCAGACGTTTTTTTGTAGCACGACCGAACAGCGGGTCGGATAAAATCTTATCTCTGTTTATAAATAACAGTTAAGAATCCCCGTAAAAAAAAAAGATCGAGCATCATCCATTTCTACTTGATAGCTTTCAATTCTTTTAACGATATCTGTTTGTTCGGATTTTATTAAAATTATGAAACAATTTTAGGAAATTTTAGAAACAGATTAGAGTCTACGAATTCGAAATAGTGATGGAATGTGACGAATTGCGCGAATACAAACGGAAAGTTGTTTCCTTCAAAGACTTTGACAGGTTCAAGTTACTGGAGCGGAGATATGATAATAATTCCCTCAACATATATACAGCGAGGCTAAACAATTTGAGAGAAGACACATTGCATAAAGCCAAACTGAAATGGGGTAAGTCGTATTTACACGCACTAAACTTTTCTCAACGTAATATATATTTATATTATTGTATTTTTTATACACATATTTAGTGGACCATCCACATATAGAGATCTCACGCCTGGTGGTGGAGGATAGAGAAAAATCTTATATTTTGATCGGTGTGCTATGCAAAGATGATTTGAAGGAAAAGTTGAAACTTTCATTATTACGCGATATAGACAATGAGCCACAACAGGAAATTCAGATAAGTAAGGATCATACATCCAACTACATCAAGATTTTTCTGGAAGATGAAACTTCACGTGTCAGATTAGTGGGAAATCACATGGATGTGCAAGAAATTATCACAGGAGTTGTATGCGCAGTATTTGGACACGAAACGGACACTGGAGCTTTCTGGGTATTTATATAATCAGAGTAACTGTGTAAAAGATGGCTTTTCTCAACAAATTTATCACATAGATCACATAATAATAATATATGTAGTTATAATGACAGTCTTAATTGTTACTTCTATATTTTATTTATGAAAGCATACTAATAGCAAGTTGAAGAAGAAATTCATCTTTTATATAATTATTGTAATTATAATTATTGTATATAATTATTGTAATCTGCAAACAAGAATTCACATCGTACTGAATTGCTTTTAGGTAGAGGATTGGTGTTTTCCAGGATATTGTCCAAAACCTTGCACATCCTTAGGCACATCAATAGAGGATGGAAAAATTCTGTTGGTGTCTGGCTTGGATCTGGTGAATAATACAGACAACCTCAGCTTAGATCTATTTTCAGAGTGGATAACTGGGATGGCAGGATGCACTAATATGCAAGAAGAAGAAGCAGCAATCGTACAAGTGATCATTGCCGGTGAGAATTACCTTTACCTCATAGGATCTGTGGCAACACATAAAACTTCTCACATTCATTCTTGGATTGTTCAGGGAACAGCATTCGGAGTTCCGCGAAACTATACAACTACAAAGGCTATTACGAGACCAAATTTAATGATCAACGTAAAATCAAGGAAGATTTAATGGCGATGCAGAAGCTGGATTCTTTTCTCGCTAAGATCCTTCACTGCTGTTGCGTCGTGCTGATGCCGGGACAGTTCGACCCGACTTCCTATTACAGCATGCCCCAACAACCGTTTCACCCCTGCACCCTGCAGAAATCGGCCAGGTAGCAGACACCGTCGTCGGCACCGTAGCATTCGTCAAGCCTCTTCTGTTTGATACAACACGCAGGTTCAAGAGCATGCACGGGGTGACTAATCCCTGGATCGGCGATATCGGCGGTCGAGTTGTAGCCGGCTCCTGCGGCGGACCGATCATAGATATCGTGAGGGTGGCCAAGTCGGACGAGTTGCGTCCGTTGAATTGGATGGAGCGTACCTTGACTTGGAGGCACTGCGCCCCAACTGGCCCCAACACGTTGCCGGTTTACCCGTTCTTCAAGAACGACCCATTCGTCATGACGGAATGCCCGGACGTATATTTCGCCGGAAATATGGATGCATACGACTCGAAACTTGTCGAAGGTAAGAATTTCTTCATTCAGAGCTCGACATGCGATGTACTCTCCGGCCGATTTTCGAGAGGTTCCACCTCGCGTTGTTGCTCTTAGACTACTCGCGAGGCAACAAAACAAAGGGGACAACGCAAACTTTTCGAAAATCGGTTGAAAAGTGTATTACTTGCTCTGTTTTAATCTATCGTCTGATCGTTAAACATTGAGCTGATTCGCTGCACCGTGAGTGTATACAGGTGACGAGGGGCAAATGATAAGATTGATTTGCGTACCCAGATTCTCGGAAACAAAAACAGCGGTGCTAGTCAATTTACAGGACCTGACGACGCAGTCTGTTTCATTCGGCCTTGGATGAAGTTGTTGCGTATTTACCCATTCCTATATTTGTACATAAGGTAATGTTAAAATAATTATTTATTATATAAGATACCATTTTGTGCAATGGAGTATTGGATAATGCGATTAGTGCGTGATCCCCACCCAAGGAGCAGAAAGTATCGATAAAAAATTTAGAGATTTCTCAAATATATAATTAAATTTATTATCCGCGAATATATATATATATATATATATATATATATATATATATATATATTTATTTATTATAATATATATTATTGTGTATATATATAGTAAATATATTTTATTTGTTATAATTATATTTATATAGACCGTTTGTTCTTGTGAACCTTAATGATAAGGTATACACAGGTACATAAAGTGACGATTTAATAAAATTGTATAGCTTTGTAATGTTGACCGCGAATGCACACGAAAATATGCTATGCAACTCGCGAAATTTCTTCGCGTGAACGTTATAAATGTAGGTTTCTATATATTTCTCAAATCCCAATTTTTTTTTCTTTTTGCGTCTCGCACCATTAAGAACTAACGTGATATCTCTTTCTCTCTCTCGTATACGAGAAATGAAATAATACATGTTAGTATTAATATACACGTATATATTACTCTCTTGTTCTTTCTCGTTACTGTCGTAAATACTATGTTTTTTTGGCACACATTCAAGATTTTAGATCACTACGTCTGTCGGAATTATATGTCGTTAGTAACGCTAAGACTCGCACATACGCGTCGAAAGATAAATTCCTAATTATAAGAAATTTTCTGAACCTAAAGACATGCACGATTAAAAGAGGAAGACAGATGGAACTGCTGCTCGTTGAAGAGATCTCAATTCGTCGAAGGCTATTCTAATAATGCCACTTGAACTTTTCAGAGGCCCGTGGAGTTATTACGATCATCCTCCCATCGCGAATGATTATTCTGATAGAAATTCTGAATCTCTGAGCCGCAGGATCTGCTGCTGGCGATGTTCACGCGGACGGCACTCTGTTCCAATCGCTCGCTGTCCAAAGAAGCTTGACTCGGCTCAGAAACGCTTGTCTCCGGCCGCTCCTCGTTTCTCATGGCACATATCACATCCGTGAGGGCTACTATGTAATTCTTCGCTAAAGTGAGCGTCTCGATCTTTGATAGGCGTCTACCTTTGGTAACGTGCGGGATCACTTCACGTAGAGACTGGAAGAAAGAAGATACAGACATCCAACTTGCTCTCGCAAGTGTGACGTCTCCACGCGACCGTTCTCATCGAGATGTAGAGTAATTCCCTATGTACCTGAAAGGCATCGTTCAGACTGTGCATCCTCATACGCTCCCGTTCATTGCTCTCCAGTCTCCTGAGAGTTCTATCCCGCGTCGTGTTTCCCTTCGCGGATTTCGACAAATTTAAGCCCGACGATTCCGTTCCCCTCGTCGTCCGTCGCACGCCTTTACCGTTCTGCGACGATTCCGTAGGCCACTTTGTCCCCCAGGTGTTCTCGTTCATTACCTTAGATCGCATTGTGCGTTCCTCCTACCTGGTAAGGAAACAATTAATACTGATATCTAAATCTGTATTCTTCGAAATTGAAATTCCTCTTTTCTCTAGATTCAGAGAGAATCGCGGTGTCGCGCTTAATATTCTCTATGACTTACTTCTTACACGATTTTCAAGCAGACTCGTTGATTAATTACCGAAGATAATAAGAGAATCTATATTCCTTTCGCTCGTGATCGACACTCCACTCCGCTCGTCACGGTCTAACGCATTTTTAAAGCTAAGCAGCCATACGACGGAGTCACACGTCACGGTTTTTCGAAATTTGTATCTCTCACTCGGCGCCGCGTATACTTGTTGAGCCACGCTGGAACGACGACTGACGTCGCGACGCCGGGGTGCGGCCGGCGCCGCCTTCAACCCCCGTTATTTCACGATATACCCCGTGTCTCCTTGATCATGTCAGTCGTCTTATCGTGTACCCGTCGATAAACTTGCAGATTCCCGCCGTCATGTTTCACGAGAGCTCCTGTTGTCTCGAAATAATTTTATTCGTGCCTCAGGAGCTGTTCCAGAAAGAATTCCAGAATTTTTCCAGAAAAATTCACATGGTGCAAGAGAAACGAATGAGAAGAGTGATAGACGCGGCGCTGCCGCTTCGTACACCCAGTATATGCAACTTTCAACCCCTCTAGATTTGCGAGCAGGCTACAGGTGGGCGTATGACGTAATTCGCCCACGCGTACCCTCCTATCTCTCTATTATCGTTTTACCACCAACAGCTTGGAGATGACGGGGGTCGTAATATGAAAAACGCCTGGATGCACTTGCTCAAACTCAAATGGCGACAAAAAATTGGCCGAACAATTTTTGATAAATCGTTTCGTTCGGAAAGAAATCGTGCGAGAGAAATTTCGGTAGATTAGATGGGATTAGTTGACAGTCGTGAAGACGAATAGATTTGCGATAATCAGGTCCTTTATTTATCCATTTTACATTTACCACAACAGGCATCAGACGTTTTCAACTCCGACTCCTTGTGATTAGCGGTCCACGGCCCGAGACTAATCGTGGCGTAGAAGTCCATCGGATACGGTCGCTCCTTGTTGAAACTCGCCATCCTGAGGGCGACCGCGCCTTCATAAGGGGTGAGAAATGGCTTCTCGAACGCGACACCCCAGTCGATGCTCAATCGTGGACATGCAACCTTATAAACAATATGAAATTTTATTTATATATTCAAATTTAATTTACACATGTTAATTTAATTTACATATTTATATATTTTTAAGTTCATATATTTAAATTTTATATATATATATATATATAAATAAGAACCTTCAATATATATATAATAAGAAAAGAGGAGAGAGAAAAGATTCTGAATTGCATTTATTAAAGCTCCTGTGGTTTCACTTTCATATAAATATATCGTTTTATTTAGAAATGGCACGCAAAAATTTTTGGCATGCGTTTTCTCACTTCTCAAGTTATCAATACAGAGTTTTACAACAGTGAGACCGGGAGCCTGATATTATATCGAATCAACCAAAAGATTTCTCCCTCCTGTTTTTGGAGCGATCTGAAAAGTGTTTTTTGATAAACAACAGAGATTGTACTTGTATGAAAGCGTCGATGCCTTCAAATAACTGAATTTTGCCCGGGAAGATCTCCGACAACAGTATCACAACGGTTTTCTTCCCTAACGCCTCTATTCTGTTTTGCAGGGTCTTCAGAACATTAGGCCTGCCTTGTCTGCCGAGGGTGCCGAGCACTAGGCCGTATTTGTCGGTTTCTGCGGCGCGTTGTATCGCCTTGTGTCTAGTCTTCAGCATTCTCTCGTGATCGTAGAATTCCTCAGTTAACTTCTTCGCGTATGGATCGTACTTGAATGCCTTTAGCTTCGGATTGGCAATCATGGCAGCCTCCAGATGGAAACGACCGTCTCCTATGTAAACCACCGCGTCGGCACAGCGAACTTGCGGCGCTGTGCAACCTAAGATCTTTGAAAAGAAACAATTAAGACTTCTACTCCCGCTGCCGCAAAACTCTAGACTGATAACGTCAAAAGCGAAAAAACGCATAACAGAATTCTTGCGTGTTATTTTTAAATAAAATATGTTTATCTTTGAAAGAGCAGGTAAAATCAAATATCTTTTTATATAAAAATAGCACGCAAGAATTTTTGCCATGCGTCTTTTTGCTTCTGACGTCATCAATCCAGGATTCTACAGCAGTGAAACCTGAGATCTTAATTATGCAATCTTTGTTAAACATGTAGAGAAATGTATTATGTATACTTCTCCAGGACTGAGTGGCTTGCTCTGTGGTACTGAGACCTCGTACCCCGCTTTTCTCAGCTCTGATGCTGCTGCCTGCAGCATGGTAGCAAATTGTATCGTACTGACCAACGCCAGTTTTGCAGTGATAGGCAGTGTGACTTGTAGACACTCCACGCAATGAGAGATATCAATTTTTATGTTGACAAATACATAAAGCACTTTGATACCAGCAGTCTGATCCACAGGTATGAGACATGAATGGCCGTAATGAACCAAAAAATCTGCATCCAATGCCCGTGCTGTGTAATCGTCCACACAGCAGGCTCCTGTAGTAAACAATAATATTAAGTAATATAGAATGTATATGGGAAGTATATGAAACTATATATGTGGAATGTTTAACTGCTTGTCTATTCTCACCATAAGTAACATCAGCCAAAATAACAGTCTCTGCTTCAGTAAAGTGCTCGATGATGTCAGCTATGGTTGTAGCGAACATCAGCAGACCTTCTGGCATTTGGAGGGCGACTCTCTTCGCCTTCACCTCCTTGATTCTCCATATCGTCTTGTGTATCTCGAAATTATAATTTGACGGTAGAGCCGCAATGGCAGAGTTCAGCAGAGGATCGTTCAGTAGTTCCTCGGGGATCTTGGTAGCTCTCACGGGAGCCTTGAAAATCTTGCGAACAGGTTTCGCCTTGATAACTACCACGGATTCTGAATGCTCGGTCATGTTTTTAGACTCACACTTCAGCAAATTAGTTCTCGAAAATATTTTTATATATGGCTTGTCACATTGTATTTACATTTAAAGTGACTATTGTAACGTGATTGTAGGTTAGGGTAAGGTTAGAGTAGGATAGGTTATGAATCATGTACTATGTTCACTGCTAATAATGGGTCTACTTTCTTTTGTGTCGTATATTATATTTTTTGTAACTATAAGTATATATAATTTTGTACACCAAATAAGATAGGTGTATATTTAAAACGCAGAGGGAACGAAAGAGGAAGATTGCAAGAAAGTACAAACACTGAAACTAAAGCGAATAGATCTAGCTGTATCTTTTAATTTTTGCTTGAAATTCTGTAAGAATCTTCACATCCAAATTGCCGTAGCTATACGTAAGACGTAATACGTAAAGACGTAATACTGTAAGAATTGGTCAATTACAGTCTAGTATTTTCGAAAAATGATAACTTTACGGTACAAAAATACTTCATGTGATTGGCCAGTTCTTACGATATATAAGTTTTACGTTACGGCCGACAATTTGTGTATGAAAACCCGAACGAGTGAAAGCAACAATATTAATATGCATATTCACATCAAATTGATATAAAACATGATTTATTGATAGAAAAAATTAAAAAAAAGAATGTGTCCAGGTCCCACCGAGATTTGAACTCGGATCGCTGGATTCAAAGTCCAGAGTGCTAACCATTACACCATGGGACCGTGCGTACCAACTGGTCTCAACATTATCGCTTTCAAAGGAGTATATACGTTAAGCACATAACCTACTCATTTATTAATTACACACACACACAATATTCTGACTGTACTGTAAAATATTCATAATCACCTTTTTATTCTTCAATAAATATTGAGTGAATCTTATGCAAAATGTAATTTTATCAATTTTCGTAAAATTTATGTAATGATTAATATATTATTCACAGAGGTAGAATATAGTTAACGAACATCACAATAGATGGCAATATAATCAGTGTAAAAAATTGAACGAGCATCCAATTTGAATTATTTTACAAATTGATTTATCTATAAGTGTTAAGCGGGGG